GGTATCCAATCTGAGTAAAACAATAAAATAATACCTGTAACAGACAATAGTAAACTTAAAATAAACTTCCCATCCAAAAAAGTCTTCTTTTATTTTTTGCCCATGAAAAGGGTTTAGGACACATTTCAAAAATAGTTTGGCTGTTCTCCCATTCTCTTTTTTTGGGTTGCCACAGGCCAAAATTTACTTCTGGCTAGACCACCTGTGTGGACAGCGATCGAAGGTGTAAATTTCACAGATTTGTCAAGCATGCCTGAATGCAATGATATACACCTGAAGCTTGCGGTATTTGCTCTCGCTACAAGTTACAAGAATTTTGTATTCAGTCAGTTCACAGACAAAATATGGAAACTTTACCTGAACCTTTTTTTATACCAGTGTGATCAGAGGAGACCCTTCTCTTCGACCTTGGTTTGATTGCATATTAAAAATTCACCATTTTGTAAGAAAGAATTCTTGAAATACATGCATTAATCGGGCTAAAAAAGTATATTGGCGCATACATCATACACCAATGACTGATTACCTCGAACCCGTGGGTGTCCCTCTCGCTTTCATCTACCAACATCTTGAAAACATCACAAATGAATGTGTTTACTCAACTTTGCTTGTGTCAATTAAAGGTTACGTTTGCATAATTCTAAAAAATTGACCAGGACATCCTTTTAACAGTTCAAACTTCGTTTGCTTATCTCCAACATTGAGGATTTTAGGTTTTCCTAACAATTTTGGACTTTGCTGTGGTTTCTGATCTCCTTCCTTCAAAGCATTTCAAAGCATTGTGAGATTGTAGCAGTGTGGATCCACTTGAAACATGTATTCGTGCAGTTCAGCTGATGAATAGTTTGTGTTGGTTCTCTATCCTAACCAAAAATACTGTAAAATACAGAGATATGAGCTCTATCGTGTGCCCATCAAAACTGACGGTTACAACAGAAAAGAAAGGGAAACACTAGGTGTATTTGTTAGTCTTTTGAGGTAATATGTAAGGAGAAACAAGTCATCCATTCAAAGATACTCAACCCTTGAAAACTCAAATCCCCAAACTTTTATCACTCAAACAATGCCAAGATATCACTGAGAACGTAAGCCTTCATCCAAAGGGATTCTTAGTTCTTCTTAGTTGCAAATGAGGCCCTCTAGAAACACGTCGAAAACAAAGTTGTCAACTTGGTCGTTCAAGCATGCCAAATGATCTTTTTTTAGGTACATAATTACAGATCTTGACCATCACGGCCTAGACTGGTGTCTCTAACACATAAAGCAACTGCAATCACGTGGAGTGCCATTGAGTAACATTCTAAATCATGCCCCCCAAAAAGCAATATCCCCTTTGGGCATACCTTTGTGGTTGCTCCGTGTCGTCTGCCACAGAATGCTCTTGAGGAGGGGGCATTATCATTTCCTGTTTTGAGATTTTGGCCATTGTTTTGACTGCTTTTTCCGTTTTATAGGCCAAAAAACTTTGGATTTCAGTTTGGGTGTTCATTTGTGGAATTTCTGGTATATCAGTTTGGTATATTGATTCGATTGGAGATTTGATACCTGGGATGTGAAAATTTTATGGGTCTTGATGGTTTTGCATACAGTTTTTCATTTTGATCAAAAACATTTGCAGTTTTGAGGTTTTGGATGTTTTTTTCACGGTTTTGTGGTTTCTAATAGACCCTAATGCCCCCTGGCTGATTGCCATTCATTCCCTCAAAGGAGCTTTAATTACAGTGAGTGCCTTTGCAAACAAGGCCTCTAGAAACGTGACGAAAACAAACTTGTTTACTTTGTCGTTCAAGAGTGTCAAACGATGTTTTCTAGGTAGATAAATACAGATCTTGGAAGATGCGTAGTAGTAATTCATTCTCCAAGTCATAATAATAATAATAATAATAATGATAATAACTAGTATTTATATAGCGCTCGTATATAAAAAAAACTATCATGGCGCTTTACAATAAGTATAAGAAATTAATTAAAATTGATTTAAAAACGAACACAATAGCTGTCGATAAATATAGAAAACAAATATGTTTTTAGATTCTTTTTAAATAAAGGCAGTGTTCCGACATTTCTGACGTGGTTAGGCATCAAGTACATCATCTAGCGGTAACTCCTGAGAAAGGTAAGTTTACCCATCTTCTATCCAATTGTTATGAAAACCTAAAATCCCTAGCGTAGGAGATAAATGAACTAGGTTTGAACGGTCAAAACGATATCTTAGTCAATTTTCAGAATTAAGCAAACGCAAGCTTTGACACAAGCTCAACTTTGCTAACATAATGAGTTCTATTGCTTTGCGTCGTTTTCGAGATGTTAGTGGATAAAAGCTAGAAAGATACCTGCAGGTTTGAGGCTTCTGGTAACCTCATTGGTGTGTAAACTATGCACTGATGTGCTTCTTTAGCCCGATTTACGCCTGCATTTTGAAAAATACCTTCTTACAAATTAGTGAATTTTTGATGTGCAAACCAAGGTCGATTAGGGAAGGGTCTCCTCTCATCACGCTGGTATGAAAAACATTTTTGGTGAAGTTTCCACATTTTGTCTGTGAACTGACTGAATACAACTTGTAGTATTGCTTGTAGCGAGAGAGATTTCCGTGAGCTTATCACTGCAGACTGCAGTCGCAGCGTGCTCTACAAAATCTGAAATTTACACCTTCGATCGCTGTCCACACGGGCGGTCTAGCCAAGAATATTATTGAGAATCGGAAAACAACTAAACTGTTTTTGAAACATGTGTCCTAAACCCTTTTCATGGGCAGAAAATTAGCGCAAACATTTTTTCGAAGGGAAATCGAGAGGACCGCTCTTGGCGAGAGCGGCACTTAATCGTTAAATCTCCATGAACCAACCATCGTAACAATAACTCACATTTCTGTAACGATCCTCTTTAATTTCTTGATCTCCTTTCGTCCGTGATTGTTTACGTCGTTTCCGGCGATATTTTCAGACTTCTTCCATCGTAACTTAGTTTCTGTAACGTCTGCCATATTGTTTTCAATTTTAACCAAATTCATATACGAATCAGTCGATTGTCACCTGACGGAAACACAGGGGTCAAGTACTGCACATGCGTAAGATTCTACAAACAACATGGCGGACTTTCGAAGGATGACTAGCGACTAAATACAGGAATGGCTCCGACCTGTGATTGAATGATAAAAATAGTAGAAGTTAATAAGTTAGATCTTAACTCCTTGCTCATGGGTATTGTTAACCGCGTGTCTCGAAGCGGAACGATGAAATATCAATGTGAAAACACCGATGAATCAAACAAGAAATGGCTTCTTACACAACGAAGAGAAGGCAGAGTCTATCTTGTTCAGCGAGGTCGTTCAGCGATATTCCGGCGATGAAAAAGTCATTCGCTGACAAGCTCCGCTGACAAAACTCATTTAGTCAGTTTAGGCGGACGACCAGAGACTGGAGCCATTCGTGTATTTAACCTCAGACAAGAATGGCTCCAACTCATGCGTATATTAATTTTTTTTCGTTCTGGCTAGGTAATTTATACACTGAGATGAAAACTGAAAGAGCGATTTATTAAGTTCTTCTTATGTTGAAGTCTACAGTGCTTGCAAATGAAGCCCTCTTTTATCACTACAGGGCTATGTAGGTTCCAGGTTTTAAAATAATGCAGCAACTGCATGTCACGTTTGGAAAATCACGCAATGTTGCGTGACGCTGCGACCGATGTTTTTAATTTACAGTATGCTCTGGTAGAGAAATATGGCTTGGCCGCAATCGGGGGAGTTTTTTTCGTGGAAAACTTAATTTTTTAGGTTATTGTTCACATGAAGGACAAATCCATTCATCGGGCTCTTCATCTGTTTTTACACAGCGTATAAAGGAAGAAAGTCGCGGATTGATTTTGCTTGGTAATTTCTAACAACTCCACTGAACCTAAAAAGGGAAAAAACAAAACAAACCAAAAAAAACGTCTTACCAGTCAAACCAGTGGCAGTGGCTCTCGCACTGAATCGTGTCGAAGTACCTTGACTGTTTTCAGTGATGGAACAAGAAAGAGTACAATGATTTTATAAAACTTGTTCTAAAATTAATGAAGGCTGTTCATCACATGACGCTGTATCGGAACGAGTAAATCTCGTTTACTATTGTATCACACTACTGTTTTAGACAAGGTATTTATAACACTTAAATTTAAGAAAGAAGGAGTAGAACATAAACCACATTTTCTGTAAAGTACACGAGCCATCCTAACTTAATTTGCTAACTGCTTTCCAGGAATTATCTGTAAAAAACTGCTTCAATTTTTCAAATTTGAAAATTTTTAGCTAAAACCGTGGCTCCCCAAAATATTTCTCACCTTGCCTAAAAAATTTTCAAAAGTTTACCTATTGCTGCTCGTAGGTCCAGCCAAGCCCATATGGTCATTGGCCCCCGCAATAGCCGCTCACAATGGCTCATAAATGTAGGCGTTTTGTCGTAACTTGTAAAACTCCCTGAAGAAGATTGCAGGATTGCCCGCACTGATTCGCGCATGAAAAAAATAGAATTGGAACTACGTTCGTAATTCTTGGACAATTTCGGCATTGGAAACGCAAAAAGCGGCAGAAGATAGTTAAAACAAAGAAAACAGAAACGACTCTCGTAAGTTTGTTGTGCAACAAACACAGGTGACTTCCTTTCCAGGCTCTCGAAGTAAACAAGTCATTCTTTTAACAATTTCTTTTAACAATTAAAATTGTTAATAAAGCGGAATCTTTTTGCAATATAATAAATCCTTTATTAACCAAACTTGTTTGGTCAAGATGGCTGGATATTAGATATATTAACCTCATTCATTTTTTGCATTTTTATGGACTTCGACATCGTATCGGTCCATAAAAATGCCAAAAAAGGACTCAGCCAATATCCAGCCATCTTGACCTCACGCTTGGTTAATAACGCATATTTGTTGCAACATTTCTGTTTCAGCAAAACTTTTTCGTGTTTTAAAGATCACCTGGGTTTCTCGAGATTGCTCTGGGTACAAAATGGATAGGACTGGTGAACTTAGTGAGGAAATGAAGGCTACTAAAGAAGTACAAAAGATTGTCGACGAGGTTTGTTTAGAACTCGTAACTATGAGCAAGCGCGGGACATAGACCACAGGAGGCCCAAGAGTAATGTGCGTGATTTTGGGTTCTACAGGTTATTAACGGAAATACCTAACAAATTAAGATCGAATTTTGAGCGTAAGGCCAAGCTCAGCCAGGATTTCAGAGTTTATCCAGTTGAATAGTAGCACAATACGCGTTCCAAAGAAAGTCGCTAAAACAGCGTTAAAAGGACTGTAAGCGACAGAACACCTACGAAAAAAAGGTAGGGAGACTTGACACGTTATATTCCTCGCTTTTATTATCCTTTCGAATTTTTTTGGGATTTTTCCTTTTTTTTGAACGGCTCACGCTTACGCTTAAAATTAGATCTTAATATGTTAGGTATTCCCGTCAATGACCTTTAGACCCCAAAATCGCACACAGTACGCTTGGGCCGCCTGTGCATAGGAGTATAGTAGGAAGTTTGTAGCTATGTTTAATCACACATTTCTCGTTTCCTCTCGCCATTAGTAATGACGGGTCCAGACCTTGAGCTAGGGGGGTGGGGGGGGGGGGAAGGGGGCAGTTTTTTGTGGGTATTTACACCTGCAGGCTTTTCTTGCCTCTGTTTTTATATTTTAGCCAAAATAAGAGGGGGAGGCAGGCCCCCTGGACCCCTCCCCTAGATCTGCCACTGACTGGTAATTGGCTTGACTGTGTCTCGCCAAAATACAAAACATGGCTCAACATTATTCGCTTCATATACAAATGTGCCACTGAAGCATGCCCAAAAGTTAGGATTTGGAAAAATTATAGAAGTGTAGCAGAAATCTCTATAAAAGAAGTTTAATAAAATTATATGCAACAGTTGAAAATTAATCTTAACTCTAGATTTGATAGGTCTGTCAACTTTTCCATCACAGCATCCTAACTTGTTCTTCCTTCTAAAATTCTCTGCCCCCTTCCCCTCTTCATTAAAAAGAAAAAGAAAAAAATTCGGACTAAAATTTCCTGTGGACCCTCTTCTATGACAAGTACGTTGAGACTTACTTGAAGTCTGACCTTGGTACTGCACAGTAGATGGTCAAAGTCCCTGGCTTTATCAAAACCAAGTAACACGCTATGCAGAAAATTATCTGGTTTGTCTCAGAATTTATATGTTAAGAGATTATTTGAGAAGTCCTTCGCTGCAGATCACATGAACACAGTTAAGGAGCATACTCTGGGAACTTAAACCAGAAACCATATAGGAAAAATCTTAACCCAGTTTGTGCACACCAATCTAAAAACAATGTATTTATTTTTTGCTTTAAAGGAGGAAAAATTGCAGCCAACCAATGATTTCCCTTGCAAAAACCAAAAAGAAATCAAACAAATGCCCGGCTGCACAACCAAAATCTGAACCCCCATCAGGTTTTTCCTTAGAGGCAATGCGGTCAGAGTTATTTTAGGTCTGAATTTTAATTAAAAATGGTCAAATTTTGTGCCATTATGTCCTTACCAACCTTAATACACAAACTATGCACTTTGCTATACATGTGCTGGTATGGAGAAACATAAATTTGTTTAAAAATTAATGAATATATTTTAAAAATCTCTGGTATCTATTTTGTTTAGGTTAAGAGCCAGGCTGAGGCAATGGCTGGTACAAAATTCAAGGAATTTAAAGCCATTTCTTATAGAACTCAACTTGTAGCTGGCACAAATTACTTTGTGAAGGTTTGTATTTGGTATTTGTAGAGGTCTCATGCGGTAAATACTGTTACAGAACAGCTTTGAATGGTCAAGATAACAGTCTCCCCTCCTCTTGAGATTGTAGTTCGTCACTAAATGTCATAGAGATGGCCAAGCGATATAAGTCTCTTCAAGGCTGTAGAACATCTACTTATATATCTCTCAATAAAAATGGAATCCAGTTAATTTCATTAAACATAGTTAGTGTGCGCGTTGTTCTTTCAGCGTCCAATATGATGCGTGCAACTCTCTTCTGCATCTGTAAGACTCTTTCTAGCAATTTCTTACTGCAAGATGACCAAATTGGACTGAGGTACAACATGACTGGCTCTATAACAGCCAGACAAAAAATTAATCTGTGCCTTTGCTTGAGATAAGGACTAATATGCCTCAAAATTCCAAGTCGTTTTGACAGTTTCTTCCATAAATCAACCATGTATGCTTCAAAGCTAAGATCTTTATTAATGATTAAACCAGAGACAACTGCTGACATGCAGGCTAAGCTCAGCCAGGATTTGAAACTTTACTACCTTATTGATAATTTAAATTAATCAATAATAATTAATATTAATATTAATTAATTAATTATTATTACATTTAATATAATCAATAATAACCTTGTATCATCTCCTTGTGAGGATAACCTCTGTTTTATTTCTCAGGTGCATGTGGGTGACTCTTCCTATGTTCATTTGCGCATAGAGCAAAGTTTACCACAGTATGGATCAAAAGTTGAGTTAATAGCCATCAGGACTGGAATGTCGGATGATGACAGCTTGGATTATTTTGTAGCTGATGGGAAAAAATAGTTTTTTTGACCAATGAAAATAATGGTAGTTTGTTTAGATAACGATTCAATTTAAAATGTCTTTTTACAGCTTAAGAGGTAAAAAAAATTCATAACTGTTTGCACAAATTTGAAAAAAAAAAAAAAGAATATTAAGTTTTGTAACTTTTTTTCGTTTAAGTTAACTTTTTGTAAGTGAAGCACTACCCAACAAAGAAGGAAGGCCATGAACATTTAAAGGACTTAATGCACCAATTCTCCTTTAGTGATACAATAAAAGCATCTGAATGAAAAGGAGAATGTGTGTTTTGATATCCAGATATTGTGATAGGTAAAGTCTACTCTTAAGCTTAGTGGCCCACTCTCCTGGAGCTTCTCCTGGCTTCTGTACCATGTTACTGGATGGGATGCTAGTCCATCAGGGTTGCTGTCACCCTTTTATACTCCTGAGTAGGGAGAGCATTAGGGTTTGAACAAAAGCCAACCCTGCCCGAGAGCTTGAAGCTGAACCCCCAAACACAAAGTCTAGCTGGTTAAGGGTAAAAAACAGTCAATTCAACTCCTTTTTTCCTATGCATTGGACCAATTTTGACCAACGGGTTAATTGAGATGGTCTACAATTCAAGTCCTCCTTCATGGAACTTGTCTCTTTAAGAAAGTCAAATCCCATGTAACTTGAGGAAAACATGTTTAAGTTCCCTGTTTCCCACTGCCCTTCTTGATGAGATATGATTGTTACATTGATGCCTGATCATGTGAGGAATCACTCTGTAATAACCAACTTGTAACTATTGGCTGCATTGCTTAACAAAGCCATTGACAAAAGCAGTAAACTCAAGGGGGCATTTTGCAACAAACAATGGTGAATCAGCCTGATTGAACTGAATTATTATTGATAATTTTGACTACCAAAATAGAATATAAATGAAAAGTGCTGTACAAAATATTTATTTTTTAATTGAATCAGTCATAACAATCAGTACATATTGAAGAGCCATGGAGGGTAGCTTAGAAACAATTACAAATAAGATACTCTCAGTGCTAACTCTGGTGAGAAATACAGAGCGTTATCAATCAAAAATAACAACTCTCTTTTTAATATTTACCAAAAACAAAGGTTTCTATCGAGACCCATAAATTGTGTATTATTTTTTAGCAGCTTTTGTTTTACCAAAATTCTCATGGTGCTTGCTGAAAAGTAACTCTTGCAGGCAGTAACTCACTTCCTGGTTTACCCTTACGAAATGGAGTTTGGAATTCCTAGGAATAAAGGTGTGAATTTTCAAAGTAAATTCGGACTGGGAATTCCCAACCATGACAACTCTGGTTCTAAAAACCTAGAAATTCCTAGAAATTCCCAGAAATTCCAAGTTCCAGGAAAATTCCAAGTTCTAGGAATTCCAACTCAGAGAACCGATGACTTTCCCTGAAAAGCTGTAAATCTAAAAAATTCCCAGGAATTTCTGGGAATTTTCAGGAATTTTTAGGAATGTTTAAGAATTACTGGGAATTTAAAGCAAAAATTTGAGGCTAATGATATAAAATAAATACTTTAAATTAAAAAAACCCAGCTAAAATTCAAGTATTCAATGAAATTTATTTACAAGCTTAATTAAGGCTTACATGTAAAATATTTTTGATTAATCAACATTAACATCAACATGTGGTAATATTAGGATGGAATTTGATTTATTTTTCTTTTCTTGAAAACTTCATACGGATTAATCCTCAACTACAGGTCTACAGCTATTCATATAAAATAGTCCTAATAAATCATTAAATTTGGTTTGACACAAATTGTGAATAAAATCTGTTGATTCTTTTCCATAAAATACAATGTCTTAAATTATATTTGAAAACCAAGCACTCTTGGGGGTGAAGGGGTTAATTACGGATAAATAAAATTGATTTTTTAATTAAAATCTTGTTGTAACTGTAACAATAAATTAGAATGAAGTTATCCTAAACTGCAAACTTAGCTGCTGTTTGTATTTTTTCCCTTGGGCTCACAATGAATTGGCCTTGAATGAGATTGTCTACAAGAAGCTTAACCATTGTGAATCTGGATTCCATGACATCTGAATTTGAAAAAAATTTATATATACATAAATATATATATTTAAAGCTCAGACCAGGCCTTTAAGATGGCCATAAGGAAAAGGGCATTCATTGGATTCTCAAATTAAGAAATCTCTGTTATATTGAGTGACTTTTATATTGGAGTTAGTACATCTCTCCCATACATTTTACTAAAAAAGGGCTGAATATTTTGTTTTTACCAAGGAGGGCTTCTTTATGTAATAAGTTTTGTTTAATAACAGTTCCTATTATGAATCTTGAATTTTCCCAAACGTGACTAAAGGAATCTTGAAACTTTACTGATAGATGTATTTCATTGTAAAGCATAAGCTTAAGAAACTGCGGCATGCAAGTGACCGATTCGATTCTCAGAATTATTCTCAGAATTATTCTAGTTTCAGTGGCACCGAGCGTTATGTAAGCTTAATTCAACCCGTTACATTTATTCTTTTATAAGATTTTGATCACGTAACGAATATCGCAATGTTTACTCACCACAAACTTTCAAAACAGATGGCCACTCGACCCTTGTTTGTACCAGTCAATATGTCAACTGTTGTCCCTTCTTTTAACTCCACGGCAAAATGTGATGCTCACTGAACCATTTGAGTCGTGGTTTCCAGCTTATCAAGTGTTCTCCCAACCTCCCAAGTGTTTACATCAGGCTATGTAAACGCGGAAACCATTTTACATGTAAAATGGTTTTATGGCCAATCAGAGCGCGCGTACTATTTGAATTATTTTATAATTTGCCTTTGTTGATTTGTATTTTAACTGCCGGACGTCTTTCGTTGGGAAACCACGCGGAACAGATCGAGACAGTCTCTGCCCCTGTAAAACCTCGGTGCGACGGGTTTCTGAATTCTCCGCACCACCTACATTTAAGAGACATTGTTGATCTTTTCCAAAATTCATACTTTAAAATGTAGTATCTTTTATTCGCTAAGTTTGAATGGATTCGGTCGGAACTTTCGTTTAATGTCCTATGGCAAAAGTTCACACCTTTTCCTCGGGAAATTTCCATTTGAAGTTAACAGATGTTGCAAGCTTATCCTTAGGCCAGGAAGGTTTTTTTTTTTTTTTTTTTTTTTTTTTTTTTTATTTTTATTTTATTATTATTTTTTTTAATTACAAACACAATACTTACAATACAAAATGAAACACCACTTATACTAATTACAATGCTTATTTACATTACTCCACTTACAGTCACTAATAATTACACTACTTACAGTATCCAGCTCTATTAACAACACAATCGACTAATTATACTATTACATACAAAAAGTACTATTTTCTTTTAACATTGCACAGTGACACATACCGGCGATGGCGACGCCCAGTTAATTCTCTAGCAAAAATAAAATACAATAAACTAATAAACAAGGAAGAATATGAGATCTAAGTTTATGCATTGGTCTTCCATTCTTTTCCTTAAAAAAAGGGCAAACACAAATTTATATGAGAAACTCCCATCTAATTTGAAAATCGCGAAGCTTTCTGTTTCTTATAGCAATTATTTTTTCAACTTGTTTTTTAAGTTCAACCATGTGCAAAAACAATCTAAATATTGGAGAGGTGTTATTTTTTCTACATTCCCAAATAGTTAATTTCCCTAAAATTATCAAATAATTTAACAAATCGTTCCTCTGAAGTAAGCCAACCATAATATCTTTTAAAGACAAAGTTAAATATTCGCCACTAAGATCAAACCACCAGACTGTAAATACGTTCCAAAAAGCTTGCACAAAGGAGCAGTTAAAGAAGAGGTGGTACAGATCTTCCGTATAGGTTCCACAAAAAGAACACTTGTCCGAATCACTTAAACCTATTTTGAACAATTTATCGTTCGTAAACAAAATGAAATTCAATACTCTGTATTGAAACGACCAAACGTACGTTTCGCTCGCAACAAGATAAGGAATAGAGAAAACTTCCTGCGCATTTGAAAGCTCAAAATCCGCTGTCAACTTTTTAAAGCCATTCGGGATTCTCGCTTTACTTGATATCATCGTAGAATAAAACTGTTTACACTTTGCCGTATATGCATTAAAAAATTTAGACTTATAATCAAAATTCATAGGATTGAGATTACCCGCTGTGGGGATGGAGCAGGAGCTTTTTGATTTCATATTAATAATAGAAGATCTCAAGGCTGTCCAAGTCAGAAAATTAGTGTTAAGTCCTTTTTGCTTAAAGGATTCACAAGAACGCACATTGTCAACATCGAACTGTAAATCATTCAAATAAGTTATGCCCTTGTCAAAGTATGTTTTATAAAACACAGGTTTATTATTTATTCGTATATCCTTATTATTCCAAATTACATTTTGAGAATAATTCACATCAGAAAAGGAGCATCTAAAATCCGCCCACCATCTAAAAAGCTGTAAGTAAAACTTACTAAGACTTAAGTCAAGATCATTTACATCATAATTACATCTAAAAAGAAAACATCCTCCGTATTTTTTTAAGTTGTATTTGAGATAAGAAATCCAGGGCCCTTCCTTCTCATCTAAGAGACGCGGAATCCAGGACAATCTTAATGCTTTAATATGCAGCTCAAGGTCTGTGAGATTCAGTCCACCATTCTCTAAAGTATTTATCACAGAAAGCCTTGTGACTTTATCAGGGCCTTTCCATAAAAATTTGTAGATCATTTTCTCCATCTGTTTAATAATTTCGGGTGGGGTTTCTATTATTGAAGAAACATATAATAATTTTGGGATCAGGAAAGATTTAATTATTGTTACTTTGCCAAATAGGGAGAGACCTCTGAGTTTCCATAAGTTAATCATTTTTTGAACTTCATTTAATCTATCCTGGAAATTTTGTTTCATAACTTGTTCTTGATCACAGAGGTGTTTCTAAAGAATTTTTGTTTTTTCCAACCCACATAACTTTGGTTTTAGAAAGGTTCATTTTTAAGCCAGAACATTTTTCGAAGTCATTAAGGATTTGTATAACTTTTTCGACTGATGAAATATTTGCTAGAGTAGCTGTCATGTCGTCGGCATACAACAAAGACCTAGTTTCATCTTCCCCAATTTTTGCCTTCAATATTCTCATTTGTTCTTATAGATATCGCCATAATTTCAATGGCAATTAGAAATAAATAAGGCGACAGAGGGTC